TCTGTCTCTCTGTCTCTGTGTCTCTCTGTCTCTGTCTCTCTGTCTGTCTCTGTCTCCTCTCTGTCTCTCTCTCTCTGTCTCTCTCTCTGTCTCTCTCTGTCACCTCTGTCTCTGCATCTGTCCTCTGTCTCTGTGTCACCTCTCTCTCTGTGTCACCTCTGTCTCTCTCACCTCTGTCTCTGTGTCTCCTCTGTCTCTGTCTCTGTCTCTCTCTGTCTCTCTGTCCTCCTCTGTCTCACCTCTGTCTCTCTGCCTCTGTCTCTGTCTCTGTCTCTGTCTCTCAAGTCTGCACCTCTGTCTCTGTGTCACCTCTGTCTCTGCATCACCTCTGTCTCTCGTCACCTCTGTCTCTGTCTCTGTCTCTCACCTCTGTCTCTGTGTCTGGAATGTTGCTGGGCATGACAGTAAACAACAAACAAACAAAGCTGATTTTTTAGCTACATGTTTACAGTAGTTGTTTCAACTGTTACATCACATCTTCGATATACTTATTGACGTCCGTTACAGGACCTGCCTCGGTCCGATGGCATCAAACCCGAGTGTGCCATCTACAATGAACAAAACAAATGCCCCCCAGGTAAGTTATTAGGTTCCTACATCAGATATTGATAAAAAAATTAATAATGAAGTGTTGGATAGTATTTTAGCTCCTCAAACTTTGTTAGGCCACAGTCAAGGCTATTGCCAGTAATTAGTGGTATGTGTGGCACAGGTGTTACCTCCCTTGGGAATTACAACCATGTGTAGTTCCTTATCATCCATTAAAGGTGAGGTGAAATTAGGTTTAATGTCGTACTTGAGAATATTTCGCTCATATGACGATGTGCATGCGTGGCTGATAGTACTAGCCGAGACATAAGCTAGTTTTATAGTGCTAGCCTACTGAGATACCATGCCACAGTGAAGCATGAATACCCATCTCACACACTTTATACTGCCTCCTAGCTGACCAGTCCTTGTTGTATCCATTAATGCCGAGCGCCAGACAGGGACCAACAAGTACCATATTTAGCGTCTTTTGGAATGACGGGGTTGGGGATTGAACCCGTGACCTTCCGCTCTCCTGGCGGACGCTCTAACCACTACACCACGGAGGCAGTTCATCCATTAAAGTGTTGTCTTAGAAGATCATATTGTGTTTGATCTGGGAATCTCCTCCACGAAGCAGCCCTTCTTACATTAGCTGCAGTATTGGCAAAGTATCAGTGAGTGGGTAAGTATGGTTCTATGCCACTTTTCGCAATATTCCAGCAATGTCACGGTGGGGGACACAAGAAAGGGGTTTCACACGTTGTACCCATGTAGGGAATTGAACCCGGGCCTATTATCAATCCAAGAACAAAAATAACATTCGTGAGATTCACAGCCCTTTAAGGCATTTGGACACAAGGCACAAGGATTTAATACGATTTTTTTTCTTCAGGACATGAGCTGATAGACTGTGGAGACGCGTATCCTGGTCTCTGGAAATGCAGCACCTGCAAGGAAAACCTGTATCAGTGTGACTATGTCACACCGGAATACAGTGTAAAGTGTCAACCTCCATCATGTCCAGAATTAGGGAAAGGTATGGTCAACTTTTTACCAGACAACCAGCTCAGGGTTTTACGCAACACACAAATGAGGAGAATGGATGCAGAAACCCCCAAATACTGCATCTGAGGTGTCGCACAAAAATACGTACCGCGTATCAGGAGTAGTTTGTATCTGTAGTTCCACCCATCAGCCACCGTCCACATGACTACTGATTCATTCCAAGCTCTGAAGTCATTATCTCAACGTACAGTACACTACACCATTTCAATACTCTAAATTACCCTCATATTACAACCACAGACCTGTAAAGTTTATTAACGTGAGTCCCTGGACTCTAACTTTTGTAAGTCACGATAAAACCCTGAATCAGCTACATGAGAAAATTCTGTTCCAAAGCACTACATCAGTAGACAGACAACAAAAACTTACTGGGACTGGCAATTTGCTCAAACTGTGCGCTCCTTTCGATAACTCAACTGTCCCTTTCTAACTTCACAGGGAACGAAATGTTTCAAAATTTCCCACTAGTACAGGACCAGTGAGTGGACAATAATTAGTGGTCCTGTCTGTACTTCTCTGGTCCAAAATAACGTTCATAGATTTACTTAACTATCAATACAAAATTCACTGGCCACCAGGACCACGGCAGAGTTATCATTTAGTGGTCCTGATGAATTTTAAGTAGCCAGGGACCACAGGACCAGCATAAATTTTGCACACTGCTTCACTGAAATAATTTACTAGTGGTTTTTCAAGATCGTAGAGGACCTTTTTGTTCATTATTTCAATGAAAATTTTCCTCTTGGTGAGAGCAGTTTGAAGATATCACAAACTGAACTTCAAATGTACTAAAACAGATGACCAGATCCCGTTAGTCGCCTCTTACGACAAGTATGGGATGCTTAAGACCAATTCTAGGGACTGTTGCATTTTGTAATTATTTTTATGCCTCATTTCTGGATTGAGAGTATTCATTTTAAATTCATGGTTCATTGTTATGATAATTACCTCTGTTTCAGAGACCAGTGTGAAAGTGGTAGATTTTGAGAACAAGACCTGTCGTGTTTTATGTGTCTGCAATGAAACAAATGGTTATACTGGCAAATCAGGTGCAACATGCTCCAAACATCCTGTCTGTGGCTTGGACAAGGAATTGAAAAATGGTAAGTAAAGCTGGTTTTTCTGTTGTTGAATGAAGGTTTCAGAGCATTGCATTATGAAACAGCCCCTATGCCATCTTTTCCTATGGACTTTGTAGGTGGGCAGGCATGTATGCACATGTAGGCGGGTAGGCATGCTCACACATTGTAGGTGTGTGGGCGTGTACGCACAATGTCACTAGGTGGGTGTGACTGCATGTTGGCAGACATGCCAACCCTCCCGAATTTATTGGAATCGTCCCGAAAAATACATTTAGATTCTGCCGAAACCAAATTCATTCCGATATTTTTCAAAATATAACAAAGATATAGATAGTCCTACTTGCTGGAGGGCTAGGATCATCTTTGACTATAAATAATCATAATTAAATAAAAATAATACTTTCTCAAATTGTTTAAAATAGAAAGTTATCCGGAAGTCGAGTAGGCTGCCTGATAAATTCCATTCACTGTATATTTTATTCACTTAACATTCACAAACCAGTTTCAGTTGTATAAGGATCGCTATGTGTAATGACATTGAAAAGTTTCGTTCCTTGAGTGTCACAATCTATAGGGATCCCTAATTTGTTGGGAAAATTCCTAATTTTTTCTATCATAGGGATCTCAGATTCCTAATTGCACCAATTCAGGGTTGGCATGACTGTGTTGTTTGTGCACATTATTGCTGTTTGTGCACATTATTGCTGTTTGTGCACATTATTGCTGTTTGTGAACATTATAGCTGTTTGTGCACATTATTGCTGTTTGTGAACATTATAGCTGTTTGTGCACATTATTGCTGTTTGTGCACATTATTGCTGTTTGTGCACATTATAGCTGTTTGTGCACATTATTGCTGTTTGTGCTCTACACATAGGTAGTTAGTGTTGCCATTCATTTTTATGTGTAGGAAGCGAAAGTGGCAAGCAATTACACAGATAATGAGACATATCATACATTGAAGTCAAATGTCTACTAAAATTTGTCGCTACTTTGAAGGCTGGCTAAACAATCTGTTTTAAAGTGACACCCTGACATCAGTCTAGATAACAGTTGATAGTGTTCATTAATGAATAAACATCATGAACTCTACTTACATACCTTCCACTGTAGTCTCCTCTTCAGTTGTAAACGATTCTTCAGTCAACTTCACGCCAACTTTTCTTATATCTATTTTGTACTGCAGGGACGTGTGTTGACTGCAGCCCAGGGTTCCACAATCCGGACACCGAGTATGGACCTTGTGTTGCATATGAGACCACGCCTCCATCAACAAGGTCGGTGTGACATGGATTCTCAAAAAGTCAATATGTCATTTAGGAGATAAACCTGCTGTGATGTCTGATAGAATCCAAATGTAGAGTAGATACTTCTCATAGCAATTTGGAACAGAATGCTTTTGCTTGGAAATGAAGCTTTCTTCAATGTCATGGTATAGTCATTTTGGCTCAAAATCGGACTGATGAATTGCAATCTCACTCGAAAACTAAAAAACATAATACTCGATGAAACGCTGATCATAATCAAAACATCAGACCAACTGATTTTTTTCGCAGACTTTATGTCCTAAAACTAAAAAAGTTGTTTCACAAACTATCATTGAAATTTTGACTATGTGTTACAAGGGAGGACTGCAAAGAGAGGAACAGCCAGGTGTACGAGGAACATGTGCACAGGTGGCGACAAAGTTATTGAATCATATACCTGTGCTGTGCTGTCTCCATCCTTTCTCGCACACCTGGCTGTTCCTCTCTTTGCACCCCTCCCTCGTAACAAATAGTGAACTGTGTCGAAATTTTAATGATAGTTTGTTGAAAAAATTCGTTATTTTTAGGACATAAATTTTGCAAAAAAATCAGAGTTGGTCTGACGTTTTGATTATGATCAGTGTTTCATTGAGTATTATATGTTTTTTAGTTTTCGAGTTTGATTGCAATTCATCGGTTCGATTTTGAGCCAAACGGACTATAGAACATTGTCTTAATGATAAAACTCACAGATCCCATACTGGGTAGACTTTTACTTTCTTTGTTTTTTAGCTCACCTTCCACTAAATCTCCACCTGTAACAACTTAAGTGTTCATTGGACTGGGTAGACTTTTACTTCCTGTATCTTTTGTAGCTCACCTGTCACTAAATCTCCACCTGTAGCAGCTTGAGTGTTCATTGGACTGGGTAGACTTACTTCCTGTATCTGTTTTAGCTCACCTGTCACTAGATCTCCACCTGTAACAGCTTGAGTGTCGGTTGGACTGAGTAGACTTTTCCTTTCTGTATGTTTTTTAGCTCACCTGTCACTTTCAAATCTACACCAAGGAGCAGTTCTAGCCCCTCAGATCAGGGTAGGTTCACAATCATTGTTACACATGTTCTTTTGCCAAAGTTTCTTACATGGATCTGTAAAAAATATAAACAGGGATTGGGATAAAGAACTTTGACAATGGTCCATTTTCAGGACTATTTAGCCATTTTCTGAATTTAGAATGGGCCATTGCCCTTGTATCAATAGTAAAACTTCAAAATTTTAATGATAGTTTGTTGAACAAATTCGTTATTTTTAGGACACAAATTTTTGCAAAAATAGTCACAGAGCTGGGTCTGACGCTTTGATTATGATCAGTGTTTCATTGGAGTATTATATGTTTTTAGTTTGCCGAGTTTGATTGCAATTCATCGCCGGTTCGGGATTTTGAGCCAAACGGACTATAGAACATTGTCTTAATGATAAAACTCACAGATCCCATACTGGGTAGACTTTTACTTTCTTTGTTTTTTAGCTCACCTTCCACTAAATCTCCACCTGTAACAACTTAAGTGTTCATTGGACTGGGTAGACTTTTACTTCCTGTATCTTTTGTAGCTCACCTGTCACTAAATCTCCACCTGTAGCAGCTTGAGTGTTCATTGGACTGGGTAGACTTACTTCCTGTATCTGTTTTAGCTCACCTGTCACTAGATCTCCACCTGTAACAGCTTGAGTGTCGGTTGGACTGAGTAGACTTTTCCTTTCTGTATGTTTTTTAGCTCACCTGTCACTAAATCTACACCAAGTAGCAGTCCTAGCCCCTCAGATCAGGGGTAGGTTCACAATCATTATTACACATGTTCTTTGCCAAAGTTTCTTACATGGATCTGTAAAATATAAACAGGGATTGGGATAGAGAACTTTGACAATGGGCCATTTTCAGGATTATTTGCCATTTTCTGAATTTAGAATGGGCCATTGCCCTTGTATCAATAGTAAACTTCAAAATTTTAATGATAGTTTGTTAAACAACTTTGTTATTTTTAGGACAAATTCTGCAAAATAGTCACAGAGTTGGTCTGACGTTTTGATTATGATCAGTGTTTCATTGAGTATTTTATGTTTTGTAGTTTTCGAGTTTGATTGCAATTCATCGGTCCGATTTTGAGCCAAACGGACTATAGAACATTGTCTTAATGATAAAACTCACAGATCCCATACTGGGTAGACTTTTACTTTCTTTGTTTTTTAGCTCACCTTCCACTAAATCTCCACCTGTAACAACTTAAGTGTTCATTGGACTGGGTAGACTTTTACTTCCTGTATCTTTTGTAGCTCACCTGTCACTAAATCTCCACCTGTAGCAGCTTGAGTGTTCACTGGACTGGGTAGACTTACTTCCTGTATCTGTTTTAGCTCACCTGTCACTAAATCTCCACCTGTAAGAGCTTGAGTGTTGGGTGGACTGGGTAGACTTTTACTTCCTGTATCTGTTTTAGCTCACCTGTCACTAAATCTACACCAAGTAGCAGTCCTAGCCCCTCAGATCAGGGGTAGGTTCACAATCATTATTACACATGTTCTTTGCCAAAGTTTCTTACTTGGATCTGTAAAATATAAACAGGGATTGGGATAGAGAACTTTGACAATGGGCCATTTTCAGGATTATTAGCCATTTTCTGAATTTAGAATGGGCCACTGCCCTTGTATCAATAGTAAACTTCGAAATTTTAATGGGCCATTTTTTATTCTTATGTGCAAAATGGCCCATGGCCCCTGCCTTTTCCAATCCCTGTATAAATTTTAAGATGTCGTTTTCTTACTGTATAACAATTTCTGTATCAAATATAATGTCATGTACTTTATATCTGTACTACCAGTTCAATCTTATATGTCTTGTCTTTTTTACCATTTCTGGCCTCGGGACGTTGGGTAGCCTAGTGGTTAAAGCGTTTGCTTGTCATGCTGAAAACAGGATCGATTCCCACATGGGTACAATGCGTGAAGCCCATTTCTGGTGTCCCCACCGTGATATACCTGGAATATTGCTAAAAGTGGCATGGTACAATACTCACTCACTCATTTCTAGTCTCCCCTGTTGTAAGTGAGTGAGTTGGGCATTATGCTGCTTTTTAGCAATAATTCAGCTTTTTCATGGTAGGGAACACCAGAAAGAGGTTCACACATTGTATCCATGAGGGGAATCGAACCTTGGTCTCCAGTGTGATGGGAGAACACTATAACCACTAGGCTACCCCTACCCCCGATGTTGTTATATTGCTGAATATTGATAAAATAACCCATAAAACCCTGGTTGTTAAAGAAATTGCTCGTCACGCTGAAGACCCGGGTTCGGTTCCCCACATGGGTCCATTGTGTGAAGCCCATTTCTGGTGTCCCCCGTCGTGATGTTGCTGGAATGTTGCTAAAAGCCGCATAAAACTAAACTCACTCACTCTGTACTATTGCTGGATGTACATTATGAATTCAAAAAAAAACAACCTCATTTTGGCATGTGTCTGAAGTTTGACTTGCAAGTGCATTTTTCATCATACACATTAAACTAAGATTATAATGCAATATCAGAAATAAATGTTAATATTTTTTGGTCTTTTCAGATCCGGGCAATCTAACATTATTTGGATTTTAGTCCCCTGCCTTGCGCTCATCATTGTTGTCGTCCTTGTCGTCTTTCTCTGGTATTGTTGCAGAGGTGAATGTTTATGTCATTCTCGCTTGTATTTACTTACAGTTTATCTCTCACACATGAGGATTCTTTGGGTTTTCAGTATAATTTCACTTCCTTCGGACAATCATTTTCAATATCAATAAAAAAATAGCTAATATTTAAAGTGAGTTTGTACACATCCAGGACACAATAATACGTTATTCACTGCAGAAGAAATCACGTAGTTGTCACAACTGCATTCAATCAAGCTAGACAGGTCTAGGGTACTTCCACTCTGTTGATTTGTCATTTGGTTATTTTTAACAATTTTTATCCCCCGCAACGCGTTTTGCGGGGGGTATTAAAATGGACTCCGTCCGTCCGTCCGTGCACATTTGTCTTTTCCGGAGCAGAACTCTAAAAGCATTCAATATTTCTTCACCAAACTTGGCACATACATTGATCTGGTGGTGTACTGGTGCCTTTTGGCAGTTTTGGAATTCAGAATAAAATATTTTTGGCGTTTCCATGTCAACAAGTTCGACTTAGACTGAAATTGGTGGTAGTGCTCTTTTCCGGAGCAGAACTTTAAAACCGTTCACTATTTCTTCACCAAACTTGGCATATAGATTGGTCTGGTGGTGTACTGGTGCCTTTTGGTAGTTTTGGAATTCTGAATCAAATATTTTTGGCGTTTCCATGGCAACAAGTTTGACTGAGACTGAAATTGGTGATAGTGCTCCTTTCAATGCTCTCCTTCCACTTTTCTATATACACACCTAAATATTTGACATAGTCATAACTCGTAGACATAATCATGAAGAGTATTTTGCCATTGCGGGGGATATTGATGACTTTGTCTTCTTGTCTTGCATATTTTGAGGCTAAATTGTAATTGATTTGGCATATTTTATGAAAATAAAATGGTGGTTGGGTAGCCTAGTGGTTAAAGTCATGATGTCCAACTTCTGTTTCAGGTCAGACACATGCATGCAATATGGCTTGCTGCAACAGTACCGCCATTCAGAACCCGAACAGGCAACAGGACCAAGGTACGTATAGTTGCATCATGGTCCATACTTCCAGGCTCATATTTCAGTATGTTTGATAAAACCGCTTCAATCTCTACTTATCTGCCCCAGAAAGAGATATCATATCATTCATTTTTTGTTAATTGCAGCTGCTGAAGCCCCAGAAAATCCACCTCCCTACACGTTTCTACCAAATGGTAAGAATAACATTTAGGGTTAGACAAAACAAACCTTTTTGTTTGAACATCACCACAATTTATTTTTGCCAGGGGGATAAAACCATATTAAAAAAAATAAATTACATGCCAGGGGGATATAGTTGACACTTCGTCCGTCCGTAATCATTTTGTTTTGTTTAACGTAAAGTGATTTCTTTTGCTATTTAGAGATTTTTGTGATGATTTATTTTCTCTGTATCCATGGAAATGATTCGGACTTAGTCTCAAATGGGAGGGGTGGGCTTCGTTTCTGGGGCACAACTCAAAAACGGTTCATTATTTTAATATCTTTCAACAGAACTTGGCAGATATGAGACAGATCTTGAAGTGGTACCTTTTGCTATTTACAGATTTTTGACATTTATATTTTTCATGATTTCCATGGAAATGATTTGGACTTAGTCTAAAGGAAAATCAAGCTGGACTTAAGTAACTGTCAGATGATTTCTTCTTTCGAATATGTGGGGGCTCGGTGGATATGTCATCTGGTGATGACTCTTGTTTGTATGTGTAAGAGTTTTAAACTTATCCTATCAAACGTTATACACTTTCCCCTCTACTTTCGACAGTGGATTGAAAACAACCTGAAAGAATGTTTCCGCCTTCTTTGAATTGTTACCCTGAACACACTGCTTCGATAATTAGGGGATAACTGTACTGTGTTGGAAGAATTGGGGACATATACTGGTGGTTGTATAGCCACAAATTTAGTTATATCGGCGACGCGTAAAACAACATACCCAGGGCTTCTGCAAATGATAATGCCCTGAAACACAGAGTTACCCCTATAGTGTAGGGATACATTTAAAGGTTTTGGTGAATCGGTTTTCAAATTGCGACCATATATGCTGATTATACGGTCGGAAATTTATAGCATTGACCAATCAGAACTCGTGTTACATACTAATTTGAATTAGAATTACTGATATAGGACATCACTGGATGCCCAAGCAAGTCATGAAACCTGCGTGTGATTTTGAATTCAAGATCATAGAAAATACATACATATTACATTTTGATTCGTGTTATTAGGATTACAGTAAAACTGTTAATGGGGAAGTCATTATGCAGAAAACCTGTACTCTATTGATATCTGCAGACTATAGGGATGCACTAATCCACTATGAGCCAAAAATGATACAAATCACGATTATTGGTATCGAGTACAAATATTGGGTAACAAAGAGTGAGTTTAGTTTTATGCCACGCTTAGCAATATTCCAGCTATATGGCGGCGATCTTTAAATAATCAAGCCTGTACCAAACCAAAAGGGACTGAACTGAAGGCCTTGTACCGTTACCATACTGTGGTATGAGCATACCATTTCACACCTAGAATAGTCATTTGTAGTGATAGCAAATGATGAACTGAATTCATGAGTGAGTGAGTGAGTACGGTTTTGCGCCGCTTTTAGCAATATTCCAGCAATATCATGGCGGGGGACCCAGAAATGGGCTTCACACATTGGGGATTCGAACCCACCGCCCCAAACTGAATTCAGGAAGGACTACGGTTCGATTCACCAAATGGGTCATTTTCAAAATTGGTAGGATTTTCAATTCTTTATTACAGTAAAATCAAACTCATGAAAATTGATTTAGGTTTTATTCAAATGAAATCTCAAATACTTAATTATTCAATAATACAAACATGCAGGCTCAAATTTACTAATTGGCCTTTTAATTGATACATAAGTAATTAATAGGGTGAGGGAAAGTCCTGACCGTTACCACTTCTTAATCAGAATAAGGATTTTAAAATATAATTCATAAAAATCTTTTAAAGATGGCATACACAGCTTTTACACCGACTTAATCAAACTTGAAGGTAAAAAACTATTATCATTATTTTTGAAAGTGTTATTTTGTATCCTTCATTTATTTACCACAAAATAATTGCATTTTTCTAAAACATTATTGTGCATATAGCTTTCCGCAGGTAATATTGTCTAAAATAAACATCAGCTACTAAGCCCAGGACATCTTTAGATGACACCAGCATAAAGAGGAGTGTTTCATGTATTATCATGAATTAATTAGAGCAGTCAATTAACACCAGTAACGGTTAGGACAATAGTGGTAACGGTTTGGACAGGAATGGTAACGGGGCTGGACATAAACCTTAAACAATTTAATTCAACATAGAAACAGGTAACATGAAAGGAAAAAATTATATTATTTACTTCAACTGCTAACCCTATTTTGGACAGACAGTGAAATGTGTATTAGAAATTTTAACTTGTAACAAATGTGACATGTTTTCTTCCATGCTGTGGTAACGGTTTGGACATTTGTTATATCAATATGAAACTTGTGAATGAATTTAGGCTTTTGAATAAAAACAAACTGTAGCTTCTAAAGAATAGAAAAACACACCTGTCTAGGTTGAAAATCACTTATAATCTAAAGAAGAGTGCAATTGGGGAACGAAAATTGAATGAATAGTAACGGTTGTGACATTATTGGTAACGGTCAGGACATCAGTGTAACAAACAAATGTTATCCCTCTAAAAAGATCCAAAAGATTAAATTCTGAAAGGTACTGCAACAACTATGATACTGTACACATGGTCATGCTACACAGGCCACTGAATAGATGTCATTTTGCTGTTGATATTATGGTGCAATATTAGTCTCCACGAAATATCCTTCTTTCATTCACTTGGATACCTTTACTTTTTTGTTTATCGTGAGATGGTAACACATATTTATCAAATACAAAGGTTTGGCCAACATATTAGCACCTAGCAAATATTCAAAGTAAATGGTAGCCTTACATATCTCACAGTTAAAGTTAAAACAGTTTACACCCAAAATATCTTTAAAGGTTGGAATATTGTTACCATAGAAGTCCTAACCGTTACCCTTAATTTATAAAGACTATAGATCTTATAGAAAATAGAAACTTAACGTGATAAATTCGTTTTGGTTTATATTATTTAAAGCAGATAGATAAGTAAATAAAAAAAATATTATCACACCATGGAACATATTCTTTAAAATTAAAATTTATTAAAGATATGTCCAGACCGTTACTATTATTTGTCCAAACCGTTACTAGAGACTGTGTTTTTTATGCTACTACATCAAAACTCCTTTGAACAGTAAAATTCCATGCTTAAACTTATCTTAACCGTTAAAGTAATTATAAATTTGTTATATTTCAAATAGTAATGAACAACTTTTTGAAATACAAATCATTTTGTCCCGACCGTTACAAGGACTGTCCAAACCGTTACTTTGCAGAATGGTAACGGTTTGGACAGTAACGGTCAAGACAATTTGTAAGTAAATCTAAAATAAAAAAATGAATGATCCCTAAAAGATTTCAAAGGACATGCCTTCCACCTCTTCCATTTCTGGGCAACATATCCATTGAAATGTAAAAAACAAAGAGATATATTTGACACAAAATACATTGGTAACGGTCTGGACAATTAAGGTTGACACATAACATTTATACTTATTTGATGGTGTCAATTTTCTGCAAAATGTGAAATAATGTCATTATTTCTTTTGCTGTCACATCCACAGGGACTAGCTCAAGCAGACACAGGTAGTAGAATTACAATCCAGCTCCAGGGGGAAATTATTGCAGGAATTTCATACACTGGTAACGGTCAGGACACAAAATGACAGGACAAGCATGTTACAATTTGTAGAAAAAAACTTTTTAAGTTAAAAAAATAAATAAATGCAGTTTGAGTATGCCTGTTCAATCCTAAATGGCATAATATGAATTAGTTTGTTTATTTGCATTTATATTTACATTATTTGTGAACATTGATATCAGGACCGTCACCTCCGGACAGAGCAAATCTGCCAATTTTGATCCTAAAATGTGCCTAAATATAAACTTCAAAATGACAAGACTAATGATATACCACATTTACTGACTAGTAAACTTCTAAATATGTTTTCTAGCACAAAAAAATCCTTTTAAGTTAACAGATTTTTTTTTTATTTGGAACGGACAGAAAATCCTACCAATTTTGAAAATGACCCAAATACACGAGTGAATGGTATCAGACCTAGCAGACATTTATTCAAGCGACATTACTCAGTAACAGATTCGTTAATTCAGAGATCCGTTAAATTAGAGAGTTTCCATGGAGATGCTATCATCTGTTTTGATAGTGTCCTATTGTAATTCTATTTAATTTTCCAGGGGGTCTGTCTGCTGGAACTGGTGGCCATCATCAAAATGGAACCTCTGCTGCTCCTGGCAATGGAATCTCAAATCCCAGGCGAGATAGAACCCCCTGGTGATAGTCCAAGTGCAGTTCCTGATGTTCCTGGAAATCAAATCGCTGGTGACAGTCCAAATGTAGTTCCTGGTACTCCTGGAAATCAAATTCCCAGTGAGAGTCCAAATGGAATTCCAGGCTCTCCTGGAAGTGTTGATACTGGGGCTCCAGCAAATCGAATTCCTAATGCCAGGCCAAATGATGAAGAGGATGAAAATGGAGCAAATGGTTCACGTAGGAGTTCCATCTCAGAGAGACCAAGTCCTACTGGCACTGCTTATACGTCATCCAGATCCTTGGCGAGCAGTCCTGATTCACTGAACAGTCAAGACGACACTTCTGGTGAGTGAGTGGGAGGGTGAGTTGTGGTTGGGTGGACAAGTGAACGAGTGTGTGAGTGAGTTTTGGTTGGGTGGGCAAGTGAATGAGTGTATGGGTGAGTTTTGGTTGGGTGGGCAAGTGAACGAGTGTGTGGGTGAGTTTTGGTTGGGTTGGCAAGTGAACGAGTGGGTGGGTGAGTTTTGGTTGGGTGGGTAAGTGAACGAGTGTGTGGATGAGTTTTGGTTTGGTTGGCAAGTGAATGAGTGGGTGGGTGAATTTTGGTTGGATGGGTAAGTGAACGAGTGTGTGAGTGAGTTTTGGTTGGGTGGGCAAGTGAACGAGTGTGTGGGTGAGTTTTGGTTGGGTGGGCAAGTGAACGAGTGTGTGGGTGAGTTTTGGTTGGATGGGTAAGTGAACGAGTGTGTGAGTGAGTTTTGGTTGGAGTGGGCAAGTGAGCGAGAGTGTGTGGGTTAGTTTTGTTGGGTGGGTAGCGAACGAGTGAGCGAGTGGGTGAGTTTTGGTTGGGTGAGCAAGTGAGTGAGTGGGAGGGTGAGTTTTGGCTGGGTGGGCAAGTGGAGTGGGTGGGAGGGGTGAGTTTTGGGTTGAGGAGTGAGTGGGTGGGAGGGTGAGTTTTGGTTGGATGGGCAAGTGAGTGAGTGGGTAGGAGGGTGAGTTTTGGTTGGGCGGGCAAGTGAGTGGGTGGGAGGGTGAATTTTTGGTTGGGTGGGCAAGTGAGTGGGTGGGAGGGTGAGTTTTGGTTGAGTGAGTGAGTGGGTGGGAGGGTGAGTTTTGGTTGGATGGGTAAGTGAGAGTGTGAGGGTGAGTTTTGGTTGGGTGGGCAAGGAGTGTGTGGGAGGGTGAGTTTTTGGTTGCGGGCAAGGAGTGGAGGGAGGGTGAGTTTTGGTTGAGTGAGTGAGTGGGTGGGAGGGTGAGTTTTGGTTGGATGGGCAAGTGAGTGAGTGGGTAGGAGGGTGAGTTTTGGTTGGGTGGGCAAGTGAGTGGGTGGGAGGGTGAGTTTTGGTTGGGTGGGCAAGTGAATGAGTGGGTTGGTGTGAGTGTCAGCAGGCAGGTGCGAGAGCAAAATCATTTTGGGTGGATGAGTAACTTGTGTTGGGTGAGTGAGTTTGGTTTTATGTGTAATTAGGCAGCCTCTTTGTCACTCTAGTTATATAACCATGTGGTGCTGGCAATGTCTTGGATATCATCTCATGTTTATCACCCTTTGATAAGGAAATTGGCAACCTGACTTATCAAGGTCAACCTCAAGGTCAATGACTAAATTATTTACTTGCCAGAAAAAGTTACTGTATTCAAATGAAACTAATTCATCTATTAGCAAAAATTATTTAAAAAGTCATGCATGATCTACCTAGAAAGCCATTCGTTTAGTTTGTTTGCCATTTTTATGTCAAGCATCTTCTGTTATGGAAATATACATGCAAATATATTGTTTGGTAAGCCAATGAAATGTCACAGGCACCTGCTATTTATCTATTACTTACTATGTTTCAGATCAGTTTTTACTGCCGGGCCCCTTGATGTCAGAGGGCACAAGCTTGAACCTGCAAACACAAGAACTCAGATCTACGGACCCGGAGGAAACAAAACGGAAAATGCCAATCCCAGCTCAGGATATAGGCACTGGTTCTGATGACAACGAAGAATCTCAGGGACTGCTGGGTGGAGGTGAATGTGGCCTGGTAGAGCTCGACAATGACAGAGACTTATCACATGTACCACTTGTACATTGAACTGTTGCGATGATGTGTGATGCTGTAGTTGACCGAGGACACACCTGTTACGTAGAGATGATTGTTTTGTCAGTATTAATATTTTAATAACCTTTTTCAGACTTTTTTGGTCTTTTAGAGAGTATTAAGTTTGTTTTGTAAAATGTTCAAATGTTGAAAAACAGCACACTAAATTAAGAAAAGTTATGGAATCAATTTCTTTACTATACGATCAAATTATTGTATTGCTTGACAATGGTGTAAGGATATATACCGAATTGTAAGTTTACAGTACAGAGAAGTTGGCAATTGTTGAACGACAGTCTAGAAGTTGGTGAGTAAAAATGAAGCATACAGCTTTTTGGATAACAACTTCTTGTTATTGCATAGAGCGACATGTCAGTGTAGATTCTTACACCGTTACCAAGGTAACGTGATAAACGGGAGGAGTTTATTCTAGCTTCAATCAAAGAATCAGTGAAGAAATCTGTCTGGATTGTCAAAGAAATTGTCAACTTCTAAGAAATTCCTTTCATAGATTTCTAAAACAGCTGAGCTGGGCTCGCTTGTATTCAGTGGATAAACATTAAGTGACATCTATCGACCACTTTAAGGTGTGTGTCGCTGATTTGGAACTTTTAGTAAGGCAGGCTTCAGTATATTGTATATGAAGCAGACAGACGTTTGGGGCTGAGATAAGAGTGCCTTGGGATATCGGCTATTAGTTTTTCAATATTTTTTTAAAAACAAATCTGCTGTATTTACTGTTTAAATGATTTTAACTATTCATGTATTTTATGAAACTGCTGCTGCAGCATCGTCGTCAAAGAAATCTGGGAAAATGAAAACATCAAGAAAGGCGAGTTTTCCACCAAAACATATTCAAAACAGAAGGTCTTGAAACATGATAACAGGATTGTCAACCCACTCTGTCAGTGTATTCCATTCCATTCAGGCAGGAGTGAGAGTTAATGAGTTGATTTATAATCACATCAGCAATATTTCAACAATATTTCATCCACATCATGACCATTCAGGCAAGAAGGAAATGTGGGTTACATATAGTGATGCAGTTGATGACCATCCCATTACCATTAGCTTGATAAAGATCATGAGTATGTTTCAGCTTTAATCACAGAATCATGGTGAAATCCGTCTTCACATTAATGGATTGTCATTTACAATCCAAATTAGAATCTATCAGTGATCTAGGGCAAAGTACGGAATCGCTGGACATATCCCATACTTATAAAGCTTTAGTATCCAAGGTGGGACTGCGTTTGTACAAAGAGCTGAGATGATGGGGGAAACATATTGTCCTGGAGGTTCTTATTGTCAGAAGTATGACAATTGCAGTGGACAGTTTTGCCCTGAGTTATCCAGGATGAAGGGCTCTTCATCAGCACCAATCATGCTCGAAACTGACTTACGAAATTGTTTCAAGATTTAAAAGAGAAGATATCAAAGTCTTTAAAGTGTATCATATTTGTAAACCCCTCCCTGTCTTCTTCTTCCTCTCTCCACCCCCCCTGAAAAAGTTACTGGGTCCCTACAGATTGATGTCTTTCAATATTGTTGAATTTCTGGTTGCAGCTTTGAGATTATTAAATTTGGAGTATATTTATATCTGTTAAATATCATGTGTGCAGTGCAAAGAAAATCCTTCCATATTTCTATACTGATGTTACAGAATATATTTTAAATCCAAATCTATTAACAAATTGTACATAATGCTTTAAGAAATTCCAACTTACATACATTCTGGAAATGAACTTGTCGTTTATTTCTTTGGAAAGTTGGGACTGGTCGTGGGACTGTATTGTTTCTTGTGGACTAAGTTAGTAAATGTATTTAGTAAATGTTGAAAAATTAAAAAGGTTATTTGAAATAATTGAATAGACCCTATTTGGCGACATCCGCCTTCTTACCCATGTCATGTTTCCATGACAACATCCCCACACCAAATAAGTGCCTGATGCCTTTGTATTCAATTCATGTCATGTCAAGTATTTGTCATGAGGCAAATTACCGTATTTACTTAAATTAATTTAATCCTTTCCAGATTTTTACATTGTAATATTTATGAGTTACATGTGTCGCGACATAACTTTTATGGCAGTCATGAGCAGAGTAAATCGTGGGAATACTCTGCCTGCACAACTCTGGGTCCCGGTCTAGAAAGTGATCGTAACGCTAAGGTGACCATAATCCCAAACATTTAACATTGACTTACCAATATCACTTTGTTGACCAGCGTCCTGTACACCCAAATGAACCATGTAAGTTGCAATTTCTTCTGATACTGATATTTTAGAGATATTTTCTTGTGATATCAGCCACAGTGCCTTGTAGTATACTCTCTAAAGAATATTTCAATGTGAGATTCAAGTTAATACTGGTTTTTCTGATCAGTTTGGTGGTCATGTGACAGAAGATACTCTCAAAGTCAATATGTCAGACTTGTCATGCCCACGTCTCGCAGGGAGCTAGAAATCCGGCCATCTTTCTCTTCACAATCTCTCTATCTTTCTGAACATTTATGTTTAATATCGTGAATTAAACCATTTTTGTAATCCGTCTCTATGGTTCAGTTAAAGAAAAAAATAAGCTAACAAAACCAAACCAACAATACAACTACTGATAAGAGTATTCTTATTCTTACAATGTAGGGTCCGGATCCACAAAGTGATGGTAACGTTGGTAACATTATGACCTGTCGTATGTTTCATCATAGACTTACGAATGTCGTAGAGCTGTTTTGTGTATGTGGACCCAGTAGAACTATTTTGTTATGAGAGTTTTAGCAACTCTGGCACACAATGCAAACTATTGAGCTGGCTTTTTTACTTTTGTATTAAGATTAGAGGTTAAGATTATTCAAATATATTAGGGGCGGTGGGGTAGCCTAGTGGTTAAAGCGTTGGCTCGTCACGCCGAAGGCCCAGGTTCGATTCCCCACATGGGCACAATGTGTTAAGCCCATTTCTGGTGTCCCGCCGTGATATTGCTGGAATATTGCTAAAAGCGGCGTAAAACTAAACTCAGTCAGTCAGTCAGTCAAATATATTAATAAATATTCCTATATCTGTGCCTAAAACATTTTATAAAAAACTGATAAAAAAAATATATTAAAACATTAAAAAAAATGGAAAAAAGAAATGAGCAGATGGGTTGCAATATCCAGAGGAAAGTCTGGTTGAGAATGGATACGATATCAACGATATCGACGATATCCTGTGTCCATGTCACATGACTACCAACACTGAAAACCATGTAGATCGTACAGCAGATACAGTGTGTGCTGCCGTGTGGTCTTGTCCATAGACCCCAGGTCACAAATCAGTTGAAGTTAAGCAGCGTTGGTCACAGAGAATCTGGGATGGGTGACTGTGTACGGCAGCTTGACTCTTGAGAGTTTCCTGCGCCACAATGAAGCACATGTGATACATGCGGTCTTACCTTATGCAAGTGAGTTTGTTCAAAAATACCTCTGTCCACCCAGCAGAAAATGGGTACCCGGTGGGATAAGTCATGACCGTTAACCTTCTAACGCCTCGCAGGTAGCTTGGTAATAATGTGTTTATAAATAACCATAATTATAGATATACATTATCACGAATGTTGAGGTGAAGTGAATGTCAAGGTTAAGTTGCCGTTAAAACAAGATTTTCCTTCTCTCACAAACAGAACTACTTGAGCTTGATATGCCATGTATGGCATCTACAGGAGGAATATGGCATACTCGTATATCAATAGATCAGATCCATATTCACATAAAAATTAAAATTCACATAGTTCTCTCTTCCAGGAAGGGAAAATTATCCAATCAACAGCTTTCTTGCTCTTCTTTCAAACTTGCAACCCAATTCCAGATTTGAAAAGTACTGGGCTGGGCAAAGTCTTTTCTGTTTGATGTTTGCCCTGTTGAACCAGAAGATACATGATGATACATGGAATTGGTCCATTCCTTTTGTTCAGGTTACGCTGTGGGAACCTGCTGCATGATTATCAGAAAACACATTCCGACTGTCCGATTATACTGACCTCCCTCAGATTGGTCAGATATAAGATCACTGACATGACCAATATAATAACCGGTAGATATCCTAAATCTGTGTGTAGCATTTAGATCCAATTTTGATAAACTTTAGTCTAGCCCCCAAAGCTAACTGTCAGTGATTGTAAAGGTATCTAATGTGTCCATGCATTTTTTGGTATAATTTCTAAACACATACATTTTTTTCATGCCCCAACCCTGACCTCATTTTGTAGAAAGGAAGAAAGAAAGAACACATACATGCATGATCTAGATACATGATTTTTTTATATTAGGTAATATCTAAAGATATAAAAATATATTTAAAATAATACAATAGATGCTGAATAGACATATTTTGATGACACCCCTCCCCCAACCCACCTACCCCAATGTGTTGTCATTAGGACTAGGTAAAATTATTAATAATTGGAAATATGAAACATTATTGATTTATTATTGATATGAAATGTGTGTTATTGATAATATTGAAAATTAATGTTGGTGATAGAAAGAGTTTTAATTTTCTCACACAATATACAAATTTAGGTCTTTACTCATTGTCTGTTTCAAAATTATGTTCAGGACGCTGTTTGGTTAATAATCAATGCATAGACATTTCACAACTCACCAGTGATGTGATATATATTTCTTTCTTTCAGACTTTTTTTGGTAGTTGTGCTGAAATGTCTTCTTTATAATGTTAATCAATAATTAATTGATATTTAGTAACAATTATTGTTACATTTCACATGTTCACATTTCTCTACAAACAACCAAACGGCCATGAACAGGTATAAAACTGTGCCATTGCATTTGAATTGGAAGGAGAACATTTTAAACAAATTGTATGAACATCAATGTGAATCTTTTGTTTTGAAAGTTATTAAATCTTTTAGTGTATATGCAGTAAATTATTTTAGACATCATATCATACATCAAGCTAAGAAAAATTGTTATATTTTCCGGTTTTACAGCATATGTTTTTGATGCAAGTGCCTCAGAAGATAGAGTTGGAAAGACTTTTACATTATGCAATATCAAACTAATTTTTAGTCCAGTTTAGACAGTTTTGGATTAATAAGGTTGCAGGTAAGACCAAGAATAGAAAGTACAGATAAGGTTACAGGAAAGATTAGATAAGCTTACTGAAAATATTCAGGAATATGAATCTACATATCAAGGGATGCAGTTTTAACCACAGACATGTTTGATGCTGCAAACCATGCCTGATATTAGTTGTGTGACGATACAGCAATACAGTATTGTATCACGATACAAGGCTCTTGACACAATACTCTGACTTATAACTCTAGTATTGCAATATATACAATGCATTACAAGTTATATCAATGTAAAAACATAAATAATAACAGAATTCGTTCAAGAACCAGTTTGTGCTGATTCTCTAGTAGTTCTGGTTGGCTATAAACAGCAGAATCTGCCCCACACTGCCCCAAGATTGTGTGTGTCTCCCCTGCCATATCCCATCTCTGCTGTCTGAAATTTGAAGGTCAGGGTTGAGATTTACCTACACAAAGGAA